TGATGATGATGGGCTACAGTCACCAATTAAAGGTTAAATAACTTTACAATTGATAAAAAACTATAGAAACGAACATGTAAAAAGAACTTTAGTACCTAAACTAAAAAAAAAACAACTCATGAAATCAACATTCTTATGTTAGTATGTTAATTTTGTGTTTCTTTAACACAAAATTAAATATTTAAAAAAATAATAATAATTACCAAATAACAGGTCTCTCTCTCTTTACCTTTGAATGCCATTTTGCAGTACCTGATGACCATTTCAAATCAAAATAATTTTTGTTCATTAAATTCTAATTTCAAATTTTATTTTATTTTAAAATCATAGACCTTACCAATGATTCTAAACTATTGAAATTCAAGTTAATTTTATTACATGGAGATGGACTTATGAACTTTTCATTTTAATCAACATCTCTCTATAAAGCATGATATTATTGCATATTATGCAATTGATACGCAATTATATTATTACGCAATTTTTATTTCTTTGTTGAAAACAAGTACATACTTGCTTAAATGGGAGCGTGCCGAGCTCATTAATCAGTAGTTAATTGATCATTAGATCAAAATTCAAATATTTATACTGAATCTACAAATTGCTTATGCAATATGTATCGCCTAGTTCCATTGGCGCCTGCGTATTAAAGGTAATATGGATGTACTTTTATAAATTGACAAGTCATTTATTACTTAATTAGAGACTAATTCATTGGTAAATAAGGGCGTCTTTGACTTTGTTAGTCTCAATCAATCTACACGGCTACACATTGAGCTTTACAAAACCAGTATAAACTGAACGTTTAATGTGCGGAAAGATGATGCGACGCGACACCAGGATAAACTGGTTTTGTATAGATTGATGTGCGGCCGTGTGTACCAAGTATGTTGGCTGACTGTATCAAAGTATGATAACAGCTGTATACTACACATAAACTAATTATAAATAGGATAGTTTGTATGTTTTTTTGCTCATGACAAAATGGCTGAAGGGATCGAGATGCAATTTGGAACAGGGTGCTTACTCTTGAAACCAATCTCAATGTCAATGCAATTTCAATCCAATAAAATCTCAATAATTAGTCAATGTTAAAACTATACAACCCCAATCGTAGCTGTTGCCTGTTAAAATAGCATTTAGAGTACGGAATATAAAACCAAACTCAATACCATTTAGTTCATTCAATATCCACACAATACGGATGCAATGAGCGCTACTGTTGCAACTCAAGAGTACGAAAATTCACAATACCTATGTCGATCGATCGGAATTGGATTCAAGAGTAAGCCCGCAGGGGTGGATTATGATCTGGAATTACACATAGATCACTTTTTAGATCTTCCATTGGCAGAAGCTAGTTATAATATTTCCGGAGTCATAATCTACAAAAGCCTTCGACTAACGAGATCATTAATACAAAAAAAACAACCTGAAAAAATAATATACATAAAAACCTGTATCTAACAACCTCAACCTATTTTACATTACCGTAACGTTAATTAAGATGATGTTAAATACAAAATAAAGCTTGCAATTTCAGTTTCACAGAACATAACAGTTCAACCTCATGACCTCTTTTTACGAAGTCGGTTAGTCAACGTCCCGCAGCATTCGGTCGGGTCAACAATCTTGAGATGTAGGGAGAAAGCTCGGACGAAAAGATGTCAGATGCTGGCGAGTTGCCACGATTTATCCGATGAAAACCTAGGTAATAGATAATAGATGTTATTCGGTAAAAAATAGGAACTGGACATGATTTATAGCCACGCCTCAAGATAGGCAGAATACGCATATAAAATGCAACATGAATTTTTCACCAGTTATAATTTTGATAGGAGATTTCACTGGAATCATCATCACATAGATGTACCATTGTATAATACTTACCTATATGTCATTTATGTCTATTCGAAGACCGACCTCCGACTTCCAAAAACAGCCAGTAACACTCGCAACTTCTCTGTTGTTGCAAGTGTCCATAGATGGCGCTGATCACAAACCATCAGGGTCCATCAGGTGATCCGTCTACGTGTTCATACCATTAAAACAACTTATGATAACTAACCTATTGTGTATGCGTATTCAGTCACGTGTAACCTATGTATACAGGGTGATTTGCAATTCTAGCATAATCTCGTATTAGGTTATAGAACAAATCAATTCCAACATTGTTGTCAAACAAAAGGATAGGCGGAATTAAATGGTAATTAAAATATTTAACTTTTAGTGTTAAATTCAAAATGACGCCCACGGTACCTCTAAAACTGAAAAAACAAAACGCTCTTGACCTACATTTTATTTTCAATTATTTTACTTTAGTAGTATATTTACCAGTTCTAATCGTCGAATACACAATAATAATATTATTTTACATTGATCCCAAATTCATAAAATATTAGAATTTTTTTTCAAGTCATCGAATTACAAATCATCCTGTATATGTAGGTGTGTGTCACCTGAAAATAACAAGATCCGTAAGTTTATAAATTTCCTAGGAATATTATAAACTTCTGTAGGATTCTAAGCGGCAGCTTCCTCAGTTCAAATAAATTATTGGATTACCTACTTTAATTTTTCTGAAGATTCTGCCAACATTCGCTTTACTTAAAATAAATATAGGAAGTTTCTATTTTTTTTTTTCAGAGTCAAAGTCAATGACAAAATCAAAATCATTTATTTCAATTAGAACAGAAAGGCACTTTTAAACGTCTCAATAAAAAAATTAAAGTAAAGCTAAGAATTAAAGTGAGGAAGACAGAGACCGCTTGCCCGGAAGTCGCACTTGCAACCACTCGGCCAACGAGGCAATTAGTCAGTTTATAATTTTTCTAATTTATTATTTTCCAGTGACATATACCTACATATATGCACTTATCTTCTTCCGTGCAGTAACGAACAAACATTATTATTTAACACAAAGATTACATATCCGTATAAACCCCGTAATCAGTTGTTGTTCTTGCAGTCCCAATTAATGTATTCATTAAAATACGTTTCTACTTCGATATATGCAATTAATAGTGTTATTGTATAGGTAATAATTGATTAAAGTTACGTATTATCAATTTAGGTATGTGTAGTATTAATCAAATACACGTACTATAAACATCTTATTATTATCCTGTTTTTGAGCTACGGAACGCAAACACCAAATTTTTTTTTTATATTTGACTAGCTTTTACCCGCGGCTTCGCTCGCGTCACAAAAGGATAAAAGTAGCCTATGTAACATATACAAATACATACAGCGCCATCTATACCAATACTTTTGTTTTCCGTCGGGAATATCAAAATTTTTCGGGATAAAAAGTACCCTATTATTTAATCCAGACTACTAACTTTACGTCTGCAAAAATTCAATGCAATCGGTTAAGTAGTTACGGCGTGAAGTCGGAACAAACAAACAAACTCACTTTCCGATTTATAATATTAGTAAGGATATATAGTAAGGATGTGCCGACGTTTGACCTCTATCTCGCCTGGTGGTAAGCGATGATGCAGTCTACGGTGGACTAATTAGGACTGTCTTAGTATTTACTTCTCAAAACTTATGTTACGGACTTCCGTATAGGTAGACAAACATTATATACTTACAAATATAATTGACACTACTTTAGACACGTTATGTATGTAGAAAAGTAAATATTCTTCATAGCTTTTGGTCAAAGGTCACGCAAATGAAGCTTCAAATGGCGACCTGCTAATTCTTGGTATGTTTACCCATGTATTTGGAAGTAGCTGTTTTAAATAAGTTTGATGTATAGTTCCTATATTGATGTAGTATTTAGCATCACGCCTCTGTAAGTAAAATGCTATATTCGCCTTGATCTATGATTATGTGTCTTATGATCCGAGGAACATAATATAAAGTTTTTATTACAAATATCGTGAGACACACTACACTAACTGAAAATCGCGGGTTACCCACGTGAATATACTGAGAGAAGCTCTACTAGTTTCGAACCACAGAGGGGTCTTCCTCATGAGCAGCGTGCGCGGTCGCGGCGATGTCGCGCAGCCTGCTAGTAGAGCTTTTCTCAGTATATTCACGTAAGTAACCCGCGATTTTTAGTTAATTTAATAAAGAAGTTTTTAATTCATTATTTTCTTTGAAGTAATATAGAGTACTGCGGTTGGTCCACGACAAAGCCAAATAAAAAATTGAAAATTGACCAAGTTTTGTCATAAATAAAAACAAACAAAATACATAAAAAATAACACAGATTTATTCACATAGACTTTAAAAAAACAACAAACATAAATGGACTAGACACTTTTTAGCACATTTTTATTACAGAACAAACATAATATTTACAAATCGAAGTATTTTATAATTTAGAAAATTCGTTGACCATAACACTTGTACTTGTAGCAATGGATACATTTTAATACTAAGTCATTATAGTTAATACCAACTAAAAAAAAATATTGGCCACACTTTTCTTATTTCAATGCGATTTTTCTAACCTCAATATATTCCTGTAATTCATGAACAATCAGTCCACGCTGTAGTTTAAGTACAAAAACGTTCTAAAGCTTGTTTTGAGCAAATAAAATACAGTTTTATACCTCTACTTAATGATTGCACGAAATATAACTAGCCTACCTAATTATGTCACTACTGTTTGAAATCCAATGTCCAAATACTCAAACGCCACAAATTTTAAGTCGCGCTTTAAATATAGTTCTGTCATTAGAAATTCTTTGTATAATTACGTAGATGGCACTATATTTAAGTACAACTTAAAATGCGTAGCCTTTCAGCATTCGGACCTAAATCTCACATGCCTATCCTGTTTCTGTAATACGCCGTCTTTGAAATCCAGTCATCACAAACCTATTTCGGTGGAAATCTATCGATTTATTTTGTCAAAAATATCATCATGAAGTCATATATTTAACTGTCTCATCAAGTTTATCATTAAACCCTTCTTTCTATCGTTCATTCGAATTCTATTCCTTAAATACCTATAACATAATCTTATTACTAACTAATGACTATGAAGACTTCTTCTCAGCCTGCAGCGGTAGTGTCTCATCATCGTAATTGACAATACTTACGAGTTCAGGTTCAGCTCCTTTCTTCTCGTTCGGATCTTCATGACCAGCTACTTCTTTCTTCGCCAGCTCATTAGCCAGGCGAGTGAATAGTTCCCTATAAAACAATTAAATTAGTACTTGTTTTAACACGCCATTTTCTTGTTCTGTTAGATTAACATCATAATGTTTCATAGCTAACAATGTTTTTATCTACAAATGCTAGTTTAGTGTCAGTCTCTCTGCTGACCTTTCCACGATTATCTGGTTGACGCTAGTCCGTCTGTATTTAACGTGGAAGACTGTCATCTGTCCTGAGGTGATTTACTTTAACAACCGTTCAATAAACTACTGAACTAACTATATAGACAAAAATGCGTCTAGTTTCCTATTATTAAATCAGAGAATGTAAAATATAAAATTACGACACTTACTTGAACACAGCGCCTTGCATGTTCTTAGCGAGGTAGTAGAGGAATAGCCAGTCAGCGAACTGGCAGCCGTTGACGATGTGGATAACGTTCATGGGGTCAAACTTGGCTGAAGTGGCTCTTTGGAACATCATCATGTTGAACTTCGGGGAACGACGGTACAGGAAGAACGACGCGACGCGCCAGATCACAGCTGAAATGATTTAGTCGGTAAATTAAAAAATCATGTTCTAAGCGCCGATTTTTCCAACGCCAGATAAATTATAACTGAGAAATAACTTTGAGTATTTGACGATTCTTCCATACTAAATACTGTCAAATGTAGTCTACAGTTAAAAATTAACTGATGATTGAAAAATCGGTCCTAAATCGTTCCTTAAAATAAATAAAAGATCATCTCCTACAATTAATAACATCAAATACAAATAAGTTGTAATCCTTACCAATAACGGAGACGATGAAGAGGAACAGCAGCCAGAACCAGAGCACGGCGTAGATCTTCTCGTGGATGATGTTCAGCGCCATCACACAGAGCGCGTCGTGCTGCTGGATAGAACCGCTCGGACCGTACTTGTGGAAGATGCACTTTGTCACCTAGTAACGAAGAAACATAAGAACCTTGTAATGTTCTTAAAACGTCTTGACACTAATATTAAGGGCCAAGTAAAATCACCTCCATTATCTGGTACTTTGAATTTATCCTATAAGATGGTAGAGTAGACTTACGTCAGATTCGAAGTGAAATGCCTTGTGCAGAACATTTATGTTTGTTACTTCATGACTAACGAGAATAATTCTCAACGTTAAGTACCTACTTGAATCATTTTAATTTTAATGTAAAATGCTATAAAATTACTGCAGTTAATAGTTTTGCTTACCTTGGGGAACACAGTCTCGAGTGGGTCAGCAATGTTTTGCCATTCACTCAAATTGAGCACTCTGGGGCCCAAGCTAATGAAGCCTCCATTGAGGAACCTGTCGATGATCCAGATCTCGAAAATGACGTGCAGCAAGTTCGCCACTTCCATGGCTACCAGCCACACTGACCATGTGCGAGTTATGCGCAACCTAGAACAATATAATCATTTAAGAAACTGTTAGACTATTCTTCATCCGTAGTTAGACCTCTATTAGCTTGACTATGAAGAAAGAAAGAATAATATCTAAAAGACTAGAGTCTGAAATTACATCTCATATAGTACATGCATTGCAATTAACTATAATAATAGATGACAAGTGGATAGAAAAGTTATGCTGTGAGATTGCTTTCGTTTATTTGTGTTAAGTGATAATGTTTCATCATATTCCACATTTTCTATTTCGTGTTCCTCCATGTCTAATACGTTTTAAGACACTTACCTCAATCTAATATCTTTAAGGATGATGTCGATACGCTTGCTAAGCGTTTCTTCGGAAGGTAGGTCCATGTTTCCAACCTTCATGTCTTCCTTGATCAGCGCGAGGCTTGCGTACTGCAGGCCGTCTACTAATGCTTTTATTCTACCACCTGTGTCAGGACATAACATGACATGTCTTTATCACAATCTCTTAAAAAAGAATTGGTTACTTTAGTAAGTCATACATCTATACAGATAAATAAAATTGGCGAGATAGTGGTCAAACGTCAGTACCATCTAATATAAAAAAAACAATACGTGTGTCAGTCGAAAAAAATAATAAATCTCACGGAAGTTATAATACATTACAAATACAATTTCATCATGACTAATTCCAAACAATCTTGAATCAGTGCTGGAATAAGACATCAAGTCTCATCTAGATAAATATGTGTGTACGAGTAGTCATTGCTTTCAGAGTAAAATGTATTTGTTTTTGAGCACAAGTATGAACAAAGATGACATACTCTTCGTCACTACATTCATCATAACAATTACTGTGACACAGATTTCAAAGAATGCAAACTTTAGCTCTAGATAAGATTAAAGAAATAAGTGTTCAACTATTTGTTTATAGCATTCAGCAATTTGTAGATGTCGTTTGTTATGTTTATAATTATGACAAGACATTTCTTTTATCCGATTCTATAGATTCCTTCTTCTACATACCTATTTAAAAAAAATCGTTGTCTCGCTCTAGGATTGTCTCCTGTGTCGTGGGTGCGTTTACAAACACACAAGTTCACATACACATCACACCCAGACCCGGAACAACAATCTGTAGATGCGCCAACGTGCAGTCTTAATTAAATATTCTCAAATATTCCTGTTTCCACTAACCTTCCTTCTTTTTCCAGATATAATGCGGCATGTAGAACGCAATGGACTGCAGGAACAGTACGAAAGGCACCCACTGGTAGTAGGTGTGATGCAGGGTCTCGTCGGCCTCCATCATGGGGCCCACGCCAGGGTGCGGCAGGAACCCGCCTTGCAGGAGAGTCTCGTTGTAATGTCGAACCTAGACGAGACGAAGAGAGATCAGCTAGGTTATTGTGTAAAATGTCAATTCCAACTCTCAAAGTGAGCTCTCGTCCGTTGTTGGTCGAGATTATTCTCACAACCAATCACATGGCGGACCGTGATAGCTCACGAGAGTTCGATTCGACATCTTACAGAATAGTCTAGCTGGTATGACGGTAGTTCCATTCCAAAACAATATTATGGATGTCTCCAGAAATACATTTGGACAAATACTCAAACGCCACTAAATGTTACGTGGCGCTGAGTATCAATCTGTCACTACGAAAATTCTTTGTAAAATAACAGAGATGGCACAATATTTAAGTACAGTTTAAAAGGTTACTCGCCTTTCAGTATTCGGGCGTTTATTTACCATTATGTTCGAATTGCATTTTAGTATGATTACGATTTATCACTATCACATTAGTATCGTGTGATATAGTGAACCAATTTCTATATATCATGCATCAAATCACAATAAATACCAAGTCACATAAAAATCTGGAAATATTCAATGATATTAATACAAAACGTCTTACGATAGTAAATGTAGCCATGAAGAAGCAGTATTTCTCAATGATCGGGGTAGGGACGCCATTATCGGCCATGCATTTGATGGTATCTCCGAAGTAGTCCCTCATGCAGACCAGGATCACAGCAGCAAGGAAGAGAGTGCATGTCGCCTTATAGTGCAGTTTGAACGCTATGTTCTCTATTATAGGCTTTCGAAGGACGATTCGGAACCGAGGCCCCAGTTGGCTGGCGAGGGTTGCTGCAAACATCTTGGCTTCTCGCTTCTATGACCAAGAAGCATTACCTGAAATAATAGAAAAATTGTAAAAAATCACCTACGAGCTGAAAAATGTTATAATGATTCACAAATACGAGGACAGAATAGAAGGGACAATGGCGGAGTCGTAAATAACCTCGAATTATCAGGAGCGTCAGTAGATTGTTTTGTCTGCTTCATTTACCATAAATAACTTTAGTTCATCCCCTTTATGGCCCTTGCAAGTACCAAAATATCTTAAATCTTGTCACAAATAATAAAGAAATATAGTAAAAATAAATATAAGTATTAAGTTCTAACGAAAATGACTTTCAGTTTTAAAACATAACCATGACCTAGTTAGCAAAATATTTTTATTTATTTGTACAAAAATAAGCCTTACAAACTGTGACAGTGATAACATTTATGGCAATATTTGTCTAACTGTGTAAATATTTGAATTTATTTGAAAGCATGTAAGTAGATTAAATACTACTAAGTAACTCAACACAAACATGGAATTATTTTATACACGAATTCCTTTTCTACTTTTTATTTAGAAAAATATAGTATTTCGTGTGTGTCAGATTATACGTAACCCAATCCCCTCCACTATCCAAAGATTTGCAACGCTCTTGTAATCCTGATGTTGCCCATTCGTAACACTGATTGCATACCGTCAGATTTGGTTGTCACCTAGGGGGGAAGAATGTTCATGTTTTTCTTTAGTAAATATTTAGTAAATAGCATAATAACGGTGCATTCCCCTAATCCGGGTCATTGCACAAAAATAAGTGGTTCCAGGTAAACGGTTCTTATCTGATTGCTGAATACTGATAATGTTTCGTCGTACAAGAAACGGATGTATCTAAAACCATAGACGTATTTTGGACGACTTGAAAATTGATTAAAAAGGGATCTAAATACAAAACAGAATGCACGTCTACTCCGGTCTGTCTTTCTTATACATTTTCTACTTCATAACAGATATAGTTCAATTGAAAACCCATCTATTAATTTAGTATGGCTACTGACGACATCATACATCATGGTGAAAAAATATGTAAAACCAGTGCACAATTACTTTGGTTTCTAAAGATTTTTGAGAATTCGAGTGTAAAATATGAGAATGCACTGCTACAACAGTAGTCATGTCGTCAATGGGATAGATCACAGATAAGATATTACATGACCTTGATGTGGATAAAATCGCATGCCAACTTTCTCAACAAATTAATCACCAGAGCTACCTTTAAAAGAATCTGATTAGATGATATTATCCGCAGTCTTCAGTCTCTAAATATTAAGATCCAGTTGATCTTTGCATGAAGAATCACACAAGCGCATTTCGTAATAAAAGTTTACAATTAGTTAATTATGATTTTTACAATTTGTTAACGCACATGTATGTATACGTAATACGGTATGCATTCTAAATATGATTAAAATCAACTGTACTCAAACGTAGATAATATTCACTTTCACTAGATCGAATATAAAGTACTGCAATGGTTCACATTATGTCAAAAATACAATACCCATCCTATTTCCGAATGAAAAAGTTCAACCCTTATAAATAAATTTTTAAATAAATAATCTTTGTCTTTGTCTATAAAGACTATCATTAAATTAATTACTACTAAAAAACGAGTCGTCATCAGAAGTGAAGAAAGTATAAGACCATAAACAAAACATGCAAATAAAATTTATTCTCCCTTTCCTCAGCAAGTCAAAAGGTTAACAAGATTTCTTAATTCAAAAGGAAATTAGCAGCCTTAACAATGCAACGAAAATATCACATTCCCCTTTCCCATATCTAGAACACGGATCCGAAAGGGCCAGAGATAGTATTATCAACCTCTTGGCCTTGGAACAACAAAGGAATTCCCCTATCACAATCAACACATAACATTAACAAATATTTAAATGATTATAATAACAAAGATATTCACTTACACTCTCACTATCTTCAAAAAGTAACTTCACTTCACACACTCGAATTCGGTACACAGTCCATCGACATACAACTGGAGCTAATCATGGACTGACGGGCGTAACTCTTGGCGTCTGTGTCACACCAAGATAGCAACGATAGCGATTAGATAAGTGCGATCAAGTGTTAATGTGTAGCTTTAAATTATTCCGAAATATTTTGTTTTAAACGTAACTTGGTGAGTCTATTTTGAAGATCCTGGAAATCATCACTGATCAGATATGAGTAAGTTGCGCCCATTTTTGGTAGATACCCTTATAGATAACTAGGAATTGCGGGGGAATTGCACAACTTGATTCCCCCTAGTCCTTTCCATCATCGTACCACAAGACAATCCGCGAAGTGTCACCGATTCATGGTAGATGTTCCGCCCACACGCACGAAGCGCTTCGCTTCAAGCTTCCTTGTGCGTACTGCTAAAGAGTGGAATTCTTTGCCAGAGTCTGTATTTCCTAAAGGGTATAACCTGGGAGTCTTCAAGGCCCGAGTGAATAGGTTGCTTATGGGACGACGTGCTCCATCGTAGACCGCATCATCGCTTACCATCAGGTGAGATAGTGGTCAAACGTCGCCCCATCAAATATTAAAAAAAAAAGAATAAAGTGAGATTTGATATACTTAGCACGGGAAGTACTTTCACCATTTAGAAGTTTACATTAAAATATTATGAAACAATATTTGCATTTCTATGCGTGAATACATTACCAGGGTTCATTAGGAAGGTGACTGGTGGAAGGTGACTCTTCTAACAGCACGGAACTTACTGATAACTGACCAATGTTATCTTATTCTTCTCGCATTGAGTACTCTTCACTTACAGCCGTACCCGAAAGTTTGTACAGCATCTTATTCCATTTCGTATCTCCTCTATTTTAACTGGGTTCACCATATCCAAGCAAACCTTTTGTTTTGCAGAAGGTTACGGTAATTATTCACAATCAGGCAGAACATAGGCACAAGCTTATGCTCTTACGCTAAGCGTAGGTGGCGTGACTAAAGTAACAACACTTGCTAAAAAAAAAACCAATTCGTCAAAAACATCAATAGGCAATAGGAAACATTGACAGCCATATCTATCTTTATACGTTTTATCCGATATCATCTTTTTGACTTGAGGTCGTCACCACCACGTCTTACTCAAAACTTTTGTCTCTCATAGTAAAAATAAAATATGTAGCTAATTCCTTGTATAAAGATTAGGCAGTGAATCAAATGTGGGAGAGCCATGCTTCGGCACGAATGGGCCGAATCGACCGGGACTCATATCACGGCCGGCAGAAAACCGACGTAAAACAACACTTGCATTGTGATTCGTCGTATGAGTGAGATTACAGAAGGGCCAATTACCCCCTTCTTCAATCTTCCCAATCCCCAATAATCCTCAAATTCCTAATCCCCAAAAGGCCGGTAACGCATTTGTAACACGGTCGGTATTTCGGGCGTCGCCGATTGCTTACCATCAAGTAATCTGTATACTTGTTTGTCGGCTTAGTCCATAAAAAAGCCTTTCATTTAATTATAGTCGGTTGATTACGAAAATAAACTAAAAACTTAAGATTTATAAATAAAGCTACGAGTGCTACGCGGGTCGTAGCACGTAGTACGTAGCAACGTCGATTGCCAGAAGCGATACAAAAATGTAAATTGATAAATTTGAAATGCATTATTTAAGTGTAGTAATTATTTAGTAGCTGTTTAATCCCCGAAAGGGTAGATAGAGTAGGTATTAAATGTCTAAACACTCACTCTTCACCGAATAAATAAATATACCAGTATATTTATTTTGTATAGAGTCTTATGTAATGATCAATGGAAGATAAATTGAGTGTATTGTATTCATGCTACGTATAAGTATAATAAAAACTTTTGAAAACAGAAAAATGTTCAATAATACTTTGGCTGATCGGCATCTTTGCTCTCAATGAAACGTGTATCCACACAAAACCCGTGCTAAGTATGTTTTAACTTTTAATCACTAATAATAAATAAATTGTAATAGAAAGACATGTCGTGAAACACAAATCCATAATCCGTACTGATAATTAAAATGTCAAAAACCCAAACATTATATTATCTTAATCAGTGTATTTTTACGATCATAGAATAAAGAGTGAGACAACACTCAGTTGTGTTCATGCATTCACTGTTTCATCAACATTTCTTTAGGTTACTCCAAAACCATATTTTATCAAGCCTCTTCTTAAATACAAGTACAGATAACGATCTAGTAAATAAGTTTAGTACTGATCGCTTACCACTATTCGTTTAATACCAATGTCATTAGTAACACTTTTTTAAAAAAGAACATCACAAAACAATACTTCTCTATAAATAATTACAATTAGTAGGAGCAACCTTTTACAAATAAATCACGTGAAATCACGTCCTTAAATTATAATTAAATGTTCAGGCGCTTATATGTTATAAATAATATTAAATACAACTGATTTATAATAGAATAGAATGAGCGTTAGGTAATCCAAATAATCCGGTATAATTATATCTAATACTCAAACTAAACCTATGATAAACGTAGCTTCGAATTGATTTCGCAGATAGCTACTATCAGAACATACAACGCTTGCTAGTTACAGTCACTACTTTCATCGATTGGTATTTTAACCCGTCGAGCGTCCGCGTTCCTTATGTTCCAACGGGTGCACACGTGACCTTTGGAGCATTTTTTCTTATGATCCACCGGGTATCTTATCTCATAAGGACGCTCAAGGGGTAATAAATAAGATTATTATAGAAAATCTAGCTACGATTTGTTTATCAATATTGTCATAGACTCAGTACGTCATAGGGAGCCTTGGCTTTACTTAGCCGATTACACCTAAGAACATAGAATTTTTTTTTTTTGATTTTACAAGATCGTAATTTTATTTTTGTTTTATTAAGTGTAAATTATAATGTAATTAAATATCCAGTGTTGTTTACTACTTATCATAGTACGTAAGGTATTTTAAAACATTTATTGTATAATTATAATACTTATTGTGAATAATGTAGTTATGTAA